TGGGGGATTGCTAGAAAATTTTGTTAGAAATAGTTGATTGGCACATTTGAGATCAAATTAAAAATGAAGTCCTCTCATTTTTATCGTTAAAACTTTGTTAGAATCTATTCATTTTCTTATTTTTATCGTTAAAACTTTGTTAGAATCTAATTTCTAACATAAACTCTTTAATATAAAAAATTAACATAATTTAAATAAATTATGGATAAGTGAAAAATTCATCTTAATGAATCCATGATTATATTTTTGAAGAAATCCAAAACCCTTCAAAATCAAATTATGGATGAGTGAAAAATTAATCTTAATGAATCCATGATTATGTTTTTGAAGAAATCCAAAACCCTTCAAAATTTATCCCATAAAAAAAAAAGTTTATGTGGCTTATTTAATGGAATGTGAAGAGTTAATATTGAGAACAAATAACACCCAAGTTTTAAGTGGGTTTTAAGTTTAAATCCATACTTGTATGCGGTTTAATTTGAATTAGCTTATATTCATGCCTTGGGCTTTAATTTTGTATCTGGAATTAAGTTTAGGCTTGTTATAAAATAATTTTTTTAGCTCAAAAGATTTTCTTTGCCAATTTAATTTTGGCAAGTGTCTAGTTGACAAATAATTGTTTCTTCCACCCTATTGTTTTGACTAGCCCATGAATTTAAGAATCCAGTCGATATTTTCAAAACAATTTCTTCAGGACATGAACATTTTTTTCGTCTAGAAACATCGTATTTAAAGGCAAAAAATTCAAGTTTAATTCTGATTTTATAAAGGTTAATTAAAGCTAATGTTGGAGTGGATTCATTATGATTATTATTAGAATTAATTGTACCAGTTTTAGTTCCATAATTTATCTATAAAAAAGTGTTCGTGATTGGTTATTTTTGCATATTTATGACTATTTGTTCCATAATTGAAAACATCATTCCACGCCTAAATTTTCATCCAGGTCCCTTTGTTTTTTAAGCTTTATTTTTTATATAATTTTTCTTTTAATCTAAAGCTTATGTTTAGTCATTGTAAATAGATTATTGAGTATAATTTTTTTTATTTTGACCTTATTTAGAAATATACCTAAACAAGGTGATGATTTCAGAATCCCAAAAAGTTTACTAAAATTAGTTATTTAGCACCAAGTAAGAAATAATAAAACTTTAAAAGATAAAAAATTAATTTTTGATAACAACAAAATCTCAACTTGGTTGTATTTCAAGAGCTTTAAGAAGTAACTGGCCTCAATTAGTTTTGTTTAAGTGTAAACTCTAGTTTATTTTAGTATGTATACTAGAATTATATTTTAAATTTTATACAAGTTTATAAATATTTGCTTAGTAAGCATGCTATCCTTGATAATGATTACAAGGTCTTATTATATTTTGTAAATCTTAAACATGATGAATCTCGAAATGGAAAAGAAATAAAATGCAGGTTCCCCTGACAAGAAACAGGGGAGTTGGTTTATGAAGAGATTTATTCCATGGATCACTACCTGTAGATCAACAGTCTTACCCCTCTAGATTTAACATGACAACTGCAGTTAACAGTATCCTCAACTATATTTTGCATCTGGCGAGCTTAAATCTTCTAAATTTGTATGGAAAGAATACAGGGATTCAGTGGAATGGTCTTTTTTTGGCAACCAGAGGACCACAAGATGCCAAAAAGGACCAATCCAAGAGGGTGGTGTTCACCAAATATAGAGTGGTCCAAGGGAATGATGATAAACAGTCACAACACCCCAAATATATCTTCCAACAAAGGCAATGATGATAATAAACAAGCATTACACACGCAGCTAGTAATGAAAGCATTTAAGGTCCATGCAGTTCCTTTTGACCTTCTGTTTCTTCCCCATCCAATAATCGTATGCTGATGCTGATGCTGCTGCCCTACCGGTTTCCCTCTCTCAAGTCGAGGATGGATCTGTGTTAGGCTCGACCTGTGTAGTCCACCGGATGTCTAAGTGGGCTGGTGTTTATTTAATTTAAAGGCCTGTGTTTTTGCTGTATCCTTCCTGTCTTTCAGTGAATGTCTGGCCCAGGTTGGGCCACGGATTAATGTTCCCTTTCATTTTTGTCTCTGTTAAGCTCTTCCGGTGAGCCATGGAGGAGGGGTTGAATATTTAGAAAGGGACCTTAAAACTCGAACCACAATACCAGTTTTTGGAGAAAAACTCAACTGCTTAATCTAGTGGGAATGGCCGTCCTTCCTTTTATCTCGAATACTGTTTTAAATAAGAAAAAAAGGATGTAAATCAACTATCATCCAGCTACTGCAAATTGACAGAGCCATATTGCTAGGAAATCAGGACAGCCGTCCCTATGTTACCAAGTCGTCACAGTTCCTCTACTCCATGCTATACAGATGGTCGCAAACTTGCATGGCACAGGCCCCAGAGCCTCTGTAAGAAAGAGTGGGGAATTCAATTTTACGCCATAACCAGGAAAATAAAACTGTAAGCCTTGTTTTCCATGGATCTCAACTCACTACTGTTAACAATACGATCCATGGTAGGAGGAGGCCTTGATCAAGCTTGGAGAAATGGAATGTGAACAGAACAACTACAAAGAAATAGGATAGGCAGCCGGGAATCTAGGATTATTCTTAATTTAATATTTTATAAAATTCAACTAAGTAAGCATTTCTAGAAAAACCAAGTTATACTGTATAAGAGAAAAATGAAAGAATGAAATTAATATGTCTCTGAAAACTCTTTCTCAGGTTTGGTTGGGACAGCAGTCAACAAATGGTCTTCCATTACCTACTCATTCTCTTGCAAGCGAGCGGCAAAGTGTTGAAAATTCATGAGTTGCTAGGTGTTAACTTCCGTATAAAGAGATAAGAGGCAAGAGAGCACTACTTACAGTAAGAAAATACTTGACTTGGCTAGAATGCTCTACATCTATACGCCAAAGAAATATCCAATGAGTATGAAGAACACTTATAACACAGACTGTAATCCATTATACCTTCCGCTTCCAGAAACTCACAATTAATCATACTTGATTTGCCTATAAAAGTAAACAATTAATGCTTGATTTGCCTACAATATTTGTTTCTATTTCAAACTATTGTGACAAGAAAGAAGAGCCACAGTAATTGACATGCCCTAAGAGTTTTTATCGGATCAATGGATCTAGGTAAAAACGAAAACCTAAGTCCATAACCTTTAATATGACGTTCTCTACGACTTTTGATTTGTTTACTTTTCGTCCTTTCGATAAGCCTTTCAGGTCATAAACCCTGAATATGCTAGCATGTGGTTGAATAACTCTGGAATGGACAGCGAAGTAAACCTGCTCGCAGAAAGTCATAATTAGGTGCAACTCAAAAATGTTAGTTCCAAAACACAAGGGAAGACTGGAATTTTTTTTATCAGGTTTGACTCTTTCACTAGCTTTGTTATTTCACCAAGGCAATAATCATGAGTAATCACTGTGCAAGCTACAGTGCTCATTGTAACTTCAAGTGAGATCAACATCCAAGCAACAGCATCACCTTCACTTTAAGTAATCTAAATCAATGGACATGGAACTGCTAACAAAAACAAGAAATTCTTTGGTGGCTGGGTGGCCTCAAGTTATGTTTAGAGGACGCATTATCGTAAACAGTGACATGTTTTGTAAAAGTCACCGGAGAAGGCTTTTTTGTTTAGTGATGACATTTCTACGCATATAACAACAACAGTAACAATTTAAAAAAAAAAACATTTTTTCTAAATCCACAAACATGAAATTAGTGTTTTGCATCTGTGGAGGAGACAAAAAAAAAAAAACTAAATGAGATAGAATAGTGTACTCCCTCCGTAAACTACATGATGTGCTGCATAAATCAATCAGACAACGCATGACCAATCATTTTTTAACAGGATGTTTTAACTACTGAGATTGAAGCTCCAAGAAGATATTTTTAAAATTTTAAGATTTGATAGTTAAAATAAGGATTTTATAGCTACACTATAAAAATAAAAAAAAAACTTTAAAAAATCCTATAAAAATTTAAATGTAATTTAGCAATCAGGATAAAAATTATGATCATTTTAAGTTATTATTCTATTTTTATACAGTTAAATCTTTTTTTAAATTTAAATCTGTCTCACTAGTTTATAAATATATTTGTTAAATCATTCATGTTATTTATTTAAAATAAATTTTTATCTAGTTGTGATATACTTATACCTTATTATTTAGAATTACTTGTTATTGCAAACTTGTTCCATCATTGATACTAGTATCATAAAACATTTTTAAAGAAAAAAAAATCATAAAATTATGATTTTTATATAAAACAAGTTGAGCAAGAAAATTATTAATAATATTATATATCAAAAATTATTAATAATATTATATATGGAGTTGTTGTGTGACATTCTGAAGTGCAATAGTTATATTGTTATGCTTAGAAATAATAATATTTAGTAAATATCACAAGAAAAAAGTATTATTTTGTCAATTTTTTTATTTTTTCATAAATGGTGTTATTCTGCTAATTTTTTTTATCTAACTGTACTAATTTGAAAGGAAAAATCGTACAATTTTCAACCCTTACATTTGTGGGAGAAATTGGCATGTCAACATCGAGTTCTTCCCTAAAGAAGGAGCAGCTAGTGAAGTCACGAGCATGGCACTGCAGGATAGGAACTGGTAGCATTGCTCTAGATTTGATCCAGGGATGGCAGAATTGCCGAATCCAGAAAAGGAACAGAAGCACCATGCCCCAAAATTTTCTCTGGCCTTGAAATTTTAATGAGATCATCAAAGCTATTGAACATAAAATATACTTAGCGACTTCTTCTAAAGGGCATGCTAGATCCAACCAGTAAAAATTGGAGACGGAAAAATGTCGCGTTGAAACAACTCAATGTTAAGGACATAAATAAAAGCCAAAATGCGACAAATCCAGGTTGCAAATATGCATTCGATGCGTAAATCGACAAGAAACAGTGGAGGAACGTCTGGTGATGAGGCCAGTGCCTGGATGAATCCTTGTTGAGTCACAAAGTATTTATACAAAAGGTGTTCTCGCGCAAAGAATAATATTCGCATTTTCATGAATTAGCAGAATTTGTTTGCAGGTACAATGTGCAAACTTTTCTGGAACTGATTTCATAATGATTGAAATTGAAGGGTAAACAGGCAAAAAGAAAAAAAAAAGGGGGGGAAATTCAGACATTTTTCAACACCAACACACTAAATTCATTAATTCAATAACAAATTATGGTGCCATCTCAATCCTAGGTTCAAAGCAAAAACCAGTAAAGAGCTGAAGAGGGAACCTCTTTGTCACTGGGCACTTTTGTGACCACTTCCATTGTTTCTGGTTAAAGTCAAAAACAAGAAGCGCTGGAGCCCCATAGCTCTGGATGTATATAAGATTATCCGTACCACTACTTGCAAAAACATCATCCAACTCCCCAAATCCTTGGAAAAACTTATGGGGCATTCGGGCAATCTCTTGCCAGTCCTTGCCATTTAGAACCCAGATGCCAATCCCCTTTATTATGTCAGGCCGGTCTAGTTTACCAATTCCCCCCACCATTACAAGCTTCTCATTCAAATTCATCAGACGGCCACAAGTAAGAGGACAAGGTACTCTGATAAAACTGCTTATCAACAAGCCATGAGAAGATCTGCTGGATAGATTGTATGTAATCAGACCATGACGGGTTTCCAGGGTGCCACCTCCTGCAGAATATATCAAAACATATAAAACCCCACCACAGATTACACTCTCATCACCACCTCTCCATCCTGTCAAAACCTCTGTGCAAGAAGTTACCCACATCCTCGTATCAGAATCATAAATGTGGATAGAGAGATCCCATTGGAAAAAATTCCCAGGGACTTGCTTAGACTTCACAATTGAGATAGTATAACCATGTGATATCCGGTTCACAGAAATGGCAAGTGCACTGTAATCAGGAAATTTTAAACCTGGGGACTCCTGAAGCTTCCTGCTGTGTTTGGTGATAGGGTTGCAGACATACAACTCGCTTCTGCTGTCATTGTCCATGAAGGAAACCAAGCCACATGATGAAGCAATGAACCAATTGGATGTCTTGATGTGGGGAAGATCAATGCCATACCATTTTCGAAGGATTGGATCAAAGGCATAGCCAACAGGTTCATCTGAGCTTGTGAACATAAAATACCAAGGTTTTTGAGGCAGGACAAGCGAGATGTTCCATAAAAACCTCCTTGAACTAACAATCTCATGCCATCTTTTACACACACAGCCAGCTCTGAAGATGCTAGCAACGGGAAGACAAGCTAGGATTCGTTCTAGCAGATCATCGGGCAAGATTAAATCAACTGAAACAGCATTAACTTCTTTACTGCCTTCATCGCTAAGTTCAGAGAATGAATCAAACTCACCCATGCCCCTTGTTGAGTCCTCGAAACAATTAATTACCCAAGATGTTTCTCCCTCCATGATGAAAATAGAAGACGCGATCAAAAAAGATCTGGGACAACAAAGATGGTGAGAGAAAAAAATGAGAGAGACAAGATAATTTTGAAATGAAAATTTATGGGAATAAAAGATAAACCTCCTTGTTGCCAAATACGAGTTACTATCACCTAAAAATGCACTAAACCTTGGGAGATCCCAATTATAGCTCATTGAGCTAAACCACCAAACATGATATAGAATAAAATCTAGAGATTGAAATACATGGCAATCAATCTGACAGTTATTAACGTTGAACGATACTAGAATTCACAAGTGAAAAAAAGGAAAGAACAAGTCTTGATGTGCTGCAGAAAGCTAACAGTATCTAAAACTAACACCACTTCCAGATTCAGAGATACAAAACCCCAATGTTTCCCCTAAAATGATTCTGAAACCTCAAACATAAGGCATCAAAGAACAGATATCAAAACATAATTCAACTAACTTACGGGAAGACAAGAATCAACCTGCAAGCTCACTGTCGCTCCACATCCAGATGCAGAATTGTGAAAAAATAAGACCCTATAGTGATAGTCTTAAGGGCACCTGCAAAGTTAGTAGGAACAGGATCATATGCTGTCATCCTTCCACATATTTCAGGTTATATAAATTCATCTTTAAAATATCCAACCACAGACCCAGAGTAAAGTCCAACTATTAACAAAAATCTCACGAAAAAGAAAAACTGCAAAACTCCCAGCATCACTGGCCCAACAAATATGATAAAAAAGCCTAGATTTTGTCATACAAGGAACAAGTGGAACATGAAAGCATATATTTTTAGCATGATCAATATGGTACTCAGCTTGCGGAGAACCAAGCAGGCCCCTATATATTACTTTACACGTTACTTTATACCCGGAAGGAAATACAATGAAATTAAAAAACCTGACAGACTGGTTACCAAATCAAATGCAGAGCAAATTTTAATCCTCTGGATTTGAAACGACATCCATGGATGGATGCATCCCACATTAATAAAAATAAAAATTGATGCTTCAAAAGGACAACAGCATTTAAAGAGGATAGCATGTAAATGAATCCATTGATCTAAAAAAAGACACCAACTTGTGTTTCTTTCAACACAAAAACAGCCTTTTTTCATGGTTATCAAACCCTAATAAAACTGCTGTGGTGAGCCAATAAAAAACAAAAATGATGTTAGGTAAGATTAGGCTATGCTTATCTATCAATCAAAACATCAAAACCCCACTTCGAAACTAAAATTAAAGCACGCAAATAGATCACTATAAACCCATTAAGGATTTGCAGGAACAGACAAAAAAGAAGAGAACTTTCAAGAAATGAAGCCCCTTACCTCGTTTAAGACCACCAACACTCTATCTTCCCAGCCAGGTCTTGCCAGATTTAACAGGGAAAAAAATGGCATAAAAAGAAAGAAGAAACTTCAAAGAGAGAGAGGGGAAAAAAAACAGGAGTGACACCTTGATAGAAGAAGCAGTGAAAGAGAGTATTAAAAGCAGATAAAGAGAAAACTGAAATGAGGGTATGTGAAGGTCTTTTCCTCTAATGGTAGAGAAACAATGACATGGGTCACTCCAGATTTGGCTGGCAACCCGTGCCAAAGAAACCCATTTTAGAGAGAAAAGAGTGGGGTTTTTTATTTTTTTAGTGTGGTTTTATTTTATTTTATCTTATATTCTTTCACATATATATATTATAATAAGAAAAACGATAGGTAGAGATCAAAAGGTACGTTTGGAAATAAAAATTGTCTTTAAAAATATTTTTTATTTTTTAAAATTATATCATATCAAAACATAAAAAAATTAAAAAAAAAATCAAAATTTCACCAAAACAAAAACCAGCGCGACTTTTGAAGTGAGAGGGCCTTTTTTCTTCAGAGTGTGGTGTGTTTGTTTTGGCAAAAGGAGAGAAGGGGGAAGGGGCGTGGTGTGTATTTGAGGCGTTATTCAAGCAACTATCGATTTTTAATGAGTAGTTGAAAGAAGAAAACATTTGGATTTTGACTCTCATCACCCTCCGCAATTTTATTTTATTTTTACTTTTTTCCCATTTTTCTTCTTTTCTACAAGTACATTTTAAGGCTTTGGTTGGACTCTTTATTCAGGAACTCTTTTTTTTTTTTTCATTATTAAAAGACCTGTTGGATATGGATTATACTGTGGTTAGTGATGATGCCAAACTACCATTGGGCTGTAGCTGGGTAACACGCGTATTCGTGGTAAGATTTTTATTTCATATAACTGCTTTAATTTAATTAGTAAACTCTGAATTTGCTATCAATTCAAAAACTATATAGGTTTTATAATTACCGAAAACTTATATAATTATTAATTTTAACTAATACCAACATCCATGGTTAAAAAGAAATTATATTTCATAATGTTGAAGTTGTTTAGCATGTACTGGTAAAATTCACGACGGAGCCATATTTGATCTCTTCCGGCTGTAGGTAAACATAAAAATTAGTTTGTACGGGGTTCCTTTTCTTCTCTCTTGTCTCGTTGGAAGCACGATGACCTTCCTTCTGGGCCTTGTTTACCTAACTGAAATCCGATCGTGTCCCATGTCAAATCTTGATCTCAACCACCATTGCCAGTTTGCAATTTGCAAATCAGCGAGCAGAATCTTTTGGCCTCGTCATCGACGACGCTCAAATCATAGCACTGCTTCAATTATTCATGCATGTCTGCATTTAAAAATTGCATTGCGTTACTTTTGGTCAGCTGGGATTGGAGTTACTGGTGCTGTTACTCGGATTCTTTGACTTAATGAAGGCTGGGAATTGCTAAAAGATTGCTTGACCAGGTTTTGAATTTAATTAGTAGCTAAACCAGCTTGTTGAATCATACAATAATCATTTATGGGGACACAAGCATCTCTTGCTTGAGTGTGCCCGTTCAGAAGAGGTTATACAACAGGATTATTTATAAGATAGTGCATCCTAGTGGGGTCGTGCTGGCGATATTAACATTGCAGTTTTTGCCTTCTTTTTTATCTTTTTTCTTCCCCTAGCTCCTTCATGTTTGCTCAGCAGTTCTTCTTCTTCTTCTTCTTCTTCTTCTTCTTCTTCTTCTTCTTCTTCTTCTTCTTCTTCTTCTTCTTCTTCTTCTTCTTCTTCTTCTTCTTCTTCTTCTTCTTCTTCTTCTTCTTCTTCTTCTTTTTTTTAATCGAGCGGTGATCATAAGAAGACTTCGAAAGACAAAACAAGGGGAGGGAATAGAACATATTTAATAAGAATATGCTGCTCCGTGACGGATTTCTATGGGTATAAGCAGCCCAATTAATGCTGTGAACATATTGAAATGCTAATAATATTGCCTTCTCTAAAGCCTAATACTAACAAAATGGATTGCTGATCACGATGCCACTAATGCGTGGTGCGTGGAGCCAAGTTAATATATATATATATATATATATAGAGAGAGAGAGAGAGAGAGAGCATGGACAAAAGGAGGGATTGGGGGGGGGGGGGCCCCCCGAGGAACCCAAGGGAGGGATGTTGCTGCTCTTGCTTTTAATGGTGGGGCTGGCCATTAAAAACCAAAACAGCAGCAAAAACCAAACATATAAACATATATTTAGAGATATTTGGTACTGTGTTAGAAAAGTATTTTTAAAAAAATTTATATATTTTTTAAATTAATATATTTTTAATATTTTTAAATTATTTTGATGTGTTGATCTCAAAAATAATTTTTTAAAAATAAAAAAATATCATTAACACTTTTCTGAATGAAAAATATTTTAAAAAACAACAACAAACACACTTTTAAATATATTATTAAACTTAATTTGATTGAGATGTTTATCTAGTTTTTGAATTAGGTTGTTGCAAATTAGACCCCAATCTATGTATAAATTAAACAATCAGCTCCTAACCTACAAAATTTTGTTAATTTCTTTCCTTATTTTCACAAGCATATCCCCTGTGAATTCCCATACCAGAAGATTAAATCATTAAACTGATAGAGGGACATGCGATTAACTAAGCAAAAGTTTTTAGTCCTACACTTGAATTACAAAATCATAAAGTCAGTTATAGAACCGATTAAATGTCTTTGTTCGAATTTTTTTACCAATTTCTGTATTTTTTTTTATGATTATAGAAACTGGTAGAGATGAACATGTTAAACCAAGAGAGTTTGGGGAGAAAGTGGGAAGATTTTAAAGTTTGAGGACTGATTTGTTGATAACTACATAGTTAAAGACCAGTTTGTAACGATCCTTTAGAATTTCTTTCTGTCCCGATGTGTTAAGGACAATTTCGGCACTGTCAAGAATCTTGTTTCAGGCCTGTTTGTTTTTTCTTATAAGAATATTTTTAAAAACATTTAAAGTTCTTTTAAATTATTATTTTTTTAGTAGATATTCTAATTTTAAAAATAATTTTTACAAAATAATAAAATATTATTTTAATATATTTTTAAATAAAAAATAATTTAAAAAACAACAATACTATAATTTCAAATATTTTCTTGTCCGTCCATGAAATCATTGTAAGATGGCTACCAAAAATCACGCCTGTGTATTTCGCATGCATGGTTAGATCCCTTTATATCGTTAGCAAACATCTAACACAGAAAGGAAAAAAAAAAAAGAAGCAAATACATACTTAATTCTTTTCGTTACCATAGCATGGACTGGTCGGGGATACCATGTGCACCGCCCAGGAAGGTAATTAGACTGTGTTTGGAACCGGATTCAACTGTTTTTTTTAATTAATTATTGTTAGTTTAAAATTATTTTTTATATTTTAATATTATTTTGATATAATAATATTGAAAATAATTTTTGTAAAAAAATAAAAAATATATTATTTTAATTTATTTCTTGTTAAAAAGTAAGTTAAAACATAATCATTATTATATTATTTAAACGTATTTTTAAAATCCACCGCTTGAAATTACATGCTCTATCTATAGGATGTGGATATTCCACACGCAGGCAAGGTTTTTTTAAAATAATATTTATTCTACGTCAATTGTTGAAGGATGTCTTTAGCAATTATATTATTAAAAAAAATTAATATGAAAAGTCACAAAAACCCCTAGCCATAGCTATAAGGAAATTTTATTTTAAATGCAAATACTGTTTTAAAATAATTAAAAAGATGGTAAAGCTTCTAGATTCGAGATTTTACTTTTAATAGCGATTAAATAATCCCGTTCCTCTGAATAAATGTATGGAGACCTTATTACCCTGTCCAGATCGTTTTTTCATCATTTGAAAACGACCGGGCAAAATCATTACTCCAATGGTGCGCAATCCATTACTGTCGATGGCAAATATCTAACACAAAAGGGTAAAACAAAAAAAAAAAACTTATATTTTTTTTTGTTACAATAGCAAGGTTTGCCTGGGATACGCCCAGGAAAGTTGCTATATAACCACCGGTATAAATTAGATTACTTTCTTTCATCGCCAATAAATAAAGATTTTATTAATGACTTAAGTGAAGAGAAAATTGGATTTAAAATCCACCATAAACTAGTTTTTTTTCCTCGTTTTTGCAGTTTTTCTTTTTCACTTTTTTTCTGTTGTTTCAACCATAGATAACCTATACACTATTAACTTTGTCATGGAAAGCTACCTATCAACCATCGAGAACCACTGTGAATTTTTTTATGAGCACATACGAGATATCAAGTAAAACTCAACCTCGTATATTTAGTGAAGATATATATAATTTTAAGGAAAATCATAACCTCCAAACTAAGTTTGTATATTTAATTAGAAAAATCGAAACACTAGAATTAAAAAAGAGTGGTCTACCATAAACTAGTTTTTCTGTACTCGTTTTTGCGGTTTTTCTTTTTCATTTTTTCTTTTTCTTCCGGCCACCAATAACCTATACACTACTAACTTTATCACAGGAAGCTATCTCCCAACCATCGAGAATCACCGTGAATATTTTTACAGGTACATATGAGATACCGAGTAAAACTCAATCTCATATATCTAATAAAGATATATATAATTTTAAGGAAGATCATAACCTCTAAGCTAAATTTACATATTTAATTAGAAAAATCGAGACATTAAAATTAAAAAAGAGTAGTCAATTAAAATCTATTTAAGACATTGTATGTCAAATCTGTGAAATAAATGAAAACTTAACCAATAATTATCTAATCTTGTTTTTTAAAAAAAATATCTCCATGAATAAGCTTATGTTTTAAAAAAAATATTAAAAAAAAAACAAATAATTTTACAAATAAAAACCATCATGATACAATTAACCAGTCTTTATCGTGGTCAAGCATTACAAATTTACAATTGTCATGGCATTCCATGCACCATCTATTAGGCTTGGGGACATTTCATATTCCGATGAATGAGTGGCACGCACAAGCAATGTTTTTTAAAAAATAATATTTATATTAAATCAATTATTAAATAATCCCTTCAAAAACTCCATTATTATAAAAAAAAAAGGCTAATATTAAAAGATATAAAAACCCTTGAACCATAGCCATAAAAATTTTGATCCTAAAAACAAATGCATCTTTTAACCATTTTAAAATAATTAAAATACAATAAAGATTGAGATTTAGAAGATTCCGCTTTCAAGAATAATTAAATAATTTTATTACAATGAATAAATATATAAAAACCTTAGTACCCTGTGCAATATGTTTTTTTAATTTTGTAGGA